TTTGAAAATATTTGTTTCTAATCACAAAATACAGGGAAGGTGCAAGGACACCTATGATTCCTTGGTTGAAGGAGTTGCCAATTGAGGCATCTGTAAACTGTTGTACAATTCAAGAGCACATCTGCCCCAAGCATTCTCATTCTAACAGTAGCAGAGTATAGATTCCAACCATGTGGGTCATTTTCAAGCTCATTTTGTAAATATTGAAACTGAACGGTTTGTTAGGGCTGCTGAATTCCTAAACCTCTCATGAACAAGTAGGATATAGGTAAATTATTCCAGCACAGCTGAGAGCTATGTAAACTTTTCAAAGAGCTTTCTTAAACAGCAATGACTAAGGCCCTTTCTGTGTTTCCAGCCTTCTAAGCACCAGCAGGCTGGCCATGAGGGTCTTCCACATCCTGGGGTAGTGATGGAGGCAGGGCAGGCCAGGCCAAGTGTGAGAAAATCAATTTTATTGAGCTCACACCAGGAGTCTAGGGGTCATGAGGAGCTCTGTGAATTTTTTAATTTTCTTCTCAGCCTGCTTTTGTAGCCTCAGGGGCCATTTCTTCAGGTAATGGATTTTGGCTTTTATTCTCTTCTCTCCAGCTGTTACTGCCTGGTACTTCCAGTCAACCTCACAAGTCAAGTGCCCTAGGTAGACAAACTTTCTTGTAGACTTCAGAGAAACAGCCTTGCGGGAAGCAGGAACCACTATCCACCTTTTCTTGTCATAAGGTGATGGGATCCACCAAACATCTTGAAGCTATACAGGACACCTGGCTTTGCTTGGTCTTGTGGAACACCGTGCCTAATGCCACTAGACAAGAGGCAACTGGGGGCTAGGAAGTCACATTGCCCACAGAATTGGTTGCTGTTTATATTCTTGCAGAGGAAAACCAGGTACTTCAACTTACTTCTGTAGAAACTGTCAGAAATGTTGATGCCTTCAAGGTGCACAACAACCACCCAAGTCCAGCAGCACTTACTTGGCCACCTGGCAGCCAGGGAGATGGCCTAAGCCATCAAACACAAGGACCTGCTCCTCTGCCGTCTTCAGCAGCTGCCTGGGAGAAAAAGCTAAGTTGATCATTTCTTTTAATTATTTATTATTGGTGTCCATATTGCATACATCATTACATTAATGGTCATAAAGCTTTCAATCAAATCGTCATCCCTAGGTTTCAAACATCAAGTTTTTTTTAATGGAAACTGCCTCATCCATAAACAAAAGGGCTTCCTTAGTATTGATTCTCCACTTGTAGCTTCTCAAAGTGGACATTTGTTAAGAAACTTTGTTTCAGGGCCTCCCTGGTGGCGCAAAGGGTTAAGCACCACACTATAAAGCAATCCGCAGCCTCGCAGCCCAGTTCGATCTCTGGCCAGGGAGCAACCCACATGGCGAGGCAGACCCCTCCTGTGTCGCCCACTGCTCCCCTCTGCAGTGTATTTCAGTCAGTCTGCCTGTTCTGTTCCCCACTCTGTCTCTGGTGAATCCTCTCACCCCCCAACCCCACATCTCTGGCCTGTACCCCAGCTCTTGTATGCATAAATAAATAAATATTAAAAAAAGAGAAACTTTGTTTCAGCTAAGCTACAACATCCTATAGTCACCTTCATTTCTCTCCTCTGATCTTTCTCGCAGAATGTCCTATGAAAATGGGAATTGTGTCCCAAATTTCTAAGTAAATCTTTTCTCCTTAAGGGAATTTTCCATTGCTTCATGTTAGTTACTTTTTACTATGTAAAAAATTTCCCTGAAATGTTGTGGCATAAAACACCATTATTTTCTTTTTTTTGCCTTCTATTCTGCACAAATACACAGGTTCTTTTCCCAAAAACATTCTCTTTCCATAATCCTTAGCATCTATATCATTGACTAAGAGAGCTTCAGTTAACTATTTTTTAAATCTTTTTCCCACCACCATCCCTTTGACCCTTTCTTCCTCCTCCCTCTTAGCTTCCAAAGTCTCACTCATTTATTACTGTCCACTAGTTTTTATTAAGGATTTTGTTAAAACACCACAATTATTTTTATCACACATTCTATGGTTCAGGAATTTGGGTCCTCTGCTTCGGGGTTCCTCATAGACTGCAATAAGGTCAACTAGGGAAAGATCAACTTCCAAGCTTAAACAGTAGTTGCTGGCACTCAGTTCCTCATTGAACTGAGAGTCTCACTTCCACACCACCTGTTGGCTATAGGCCATCCTCAGTTCTACCTGGAATTCCTCTCAAGGACAGCTGGCTCCTTCAGAGTGCAAACTAACAATGCAATGGAGTACATCTGCTAACAGACAGTAGTCATAATCCTTTGTAACCTCATCTCAGAAGTAAAATCTCATCAACTCTGCTTTTTTCTATCATTAGAACAAGTCACTACGCCCATCCCACACTCAAGACAAAGGGATTACACACGAATATCAGGAAGAGAGATCACTGAAAAGTTAGAAGTCTGCTACCATTTACTGATATTTATCAACCTACAAACTCAAGACAAAAAGAGGAAGTAATGCCAATAAATGTTAATTTTTGTATATGGAGTTATGGGAGGATATATACATCTGGGCCTTTAATTTGTTGGATTCTCTGTGAAAGTAATTGGTCATTAAAGTGATTGCTGTGTAAGGTGTTTAGAAAATCAGAAAAATATATATTGACTGACAAAGATACACAGGACAATATAAGAAACCATTTCTTGGATACTTTAATAAGGACTTTTTAAAATATGCTTTTTAAAAAGCTAATTCTTCAAGAATTCTTTTTAAAATGATTCTCAAGACCTCACATTTTTTTGGTACAACTACAAATTCCCAACATCTGTCAAAGTGAAAATCTTAAGAGTAGTTTATACTGAACTTGCAAATGTGGCACTGAAGACAAGTATTTCTTGTAGTCTGCCAAATTTCTGCCACACTGAAAAGTACACAGATGATTATTTAACACTATGTGCCACTAGACAGTAATTATATTTTGCATCTTAATGAGAAAATACTTTCTCTTAAATTTAATTTGTTGCTTTAAAAAACCAATTAGTAATCCAGCTATTTTATACTATTTTATTTATTTTATTTTTTAATAGAGGCATGTTTTATTTATTTTTATTTATTTGTTTGTTTTTTTGTTTATACATGCACTGGGTACAGTCAGAAGAGCCGGAGGGTGAGAGAATTCACCAGAGCCAGAGCGGGGAGCAGAGCAGGCAGAAGGAGCGAAGTACACTGCTGAGGGGAGCTAAGTACACTGCTGAGGGGAGCAGCGGGCGGCAGGAGAGGTCTGTGCGCCATGTGGGACCCTCCTCCGGTGGTTGGGGAGCAGCCGAGGATCGAACCGGCGCCGCAGAGGGTGCGGGCAGCTTCGCAACCCAGCGCTCAACCGTTGCGCCACCGGGGAGGCCCTATTTTATACTATTTTAAATATCAGCAATCACAAAAAGGTTTTCAATTCCACAATGAACAGAATCCAAAATGAACTTTCAAGACATAATTCTATCATTTTTTAAAAACCCACTACCAAGAAATAATCACTATTAAATATTTTGAGATACATATATAGGTGTAGATCCATAGTTATACTAAAATTTACATACACTTATATATAGATTTGAACTGCCTGTGTCGACTTATACATGAATTATTTTAAAAAATACAGTTGTCCTTGAGCATTCCAAGATTTTGGCATGAGCGGTAGGAGGACTGAAGTTCCGGGGGGTGGGGGTGGGTTGGGATCAAAAGTTATTATATATGGGTTTTTTGACCACACAGGCATTCCTAACCCCTACCCATTATTCAAGAGTCCACTGTCTATCCTTTTAGACATTTAAATGTATACTATTACCACAAATGAGCTTATACTTTTTATAACGTATTAAAGTTATAGATTTACGGAACAAATGACTTTCAATGACATTGCTGAAGATGTTTCTAGCAAATTAAGCAAGTGCTACCAAACTGAGATAACACTATACATTTGTGAATCTGTTATTTCCAAACAAACGACCTATAAAACATAAGAATTTGATTTGTGCTGTAGTGTTTTAGCCGTATTGTTTTGCTACTTCTATGTCTTTGTGTTGTTCCGTAGCCTTTTTTTTTTTTAAGGTTTATTTATTTATTTATTTATACAGGCATTGGGTACAGTCAGAAGCGCGGGAGGGTGAGAGAATTCACCAGAGCCAGAGCAGGGAGCAGAGCAGGCAGAAGGACCGAAGTACACTGCTGGGGGGAGCAGCGGGCCGCAGGAGAGGTCAGTGCGCCATGTGGGACCCTCCTCCGGTGGCCGGGGAGCAGCCGGGGATCGAACCAGTGCTGCAGAGGCTGAGGGCAGCTTCGCAACCCAGCGCTCAACCGCTGCGCCACCGGGGAGGCTCTGTTCCGTAGCTTTTTATTGTTAGGTAGTCCCCCTCAGTAAACTCTTTCCCCAGTGTTTGAACCTAAATTGACCTAATTTTTAGCTGTTTTCAGAAAAAAAGTTCATTTCTGACTAATCATTCATTCTCTGACATGTTAACCAGCTTTTCTTCCCTTTTCCATCCAAATTAGGCAGCATAATTATTGATATATTTATCTTTTCCCTACTTTCTCTTTCTTTTATTTCCATCTCTCAATAATTAGTTCTTTCTGGAAACTATCAAACCTATGTTACCTTGCACTTAACAAGTGTAAACCAAACACAACCACTTTCCCTCAAATTATTTGCCCTCTTTCTCAAATACTGTTCCTGTAATCTAGTTTATTTGGGAATAACCCAGGAATCATCTTCAAACGTCTCTTCCGTTATCCTATCCAATGCTCCATTTTTAAACCATGTTTGGGCACTAAAATGCTAAAGTAACTGACATCTCAGGGCCGCACCAAACTGGCTGGGTCCCACTAACCCCGCCTAGAGGTCACCGCCCCCCGCGGCTCCTTCACAGAGCGCCCGCGAGCGCCAGGGCACGGCCGGGGCCGGGGGGAGGAGGGGCGGTGTGCTGTTGTCACGAGATCTCGCGATACTGCCCGTGAGCGGCTGTCGGCCCAGAAACGCTTGGTCGCCCGGCAACCGCACCTGGACGGCTGAGGAAGCGGAGACGGGCGAAATTGATCAAACCTGATTTACAGACCCGGCTAATCCCAGAAGCGGTGAGATGCCTTCAGGGAAGAAGCGTGGGGGCTGAGAAAGATGTAGAATCCTGTTTATTAAACTTGCCTGGCAGTAAGATTTTCCTAGAGAGTTTGTTAAAATGCAGATCCCAGAACCTTATCTCCAGACATCTGGAATTACCAAAACAGTCCGGAAGTCTGTATTTTTTTTTTTAAGATTTATTTATTTACACAAGAACTGGGGTACAGGCCAGATTGGGGGGGGGTGAGAGGATTCACCAGAGACAGAGCGGGGAACAGAGCAGGCAGACTGACGAAACACACTGCTGAGGGGAGCAGCGGGCGTGGCAGGAGAGGTCTGCCGCGCCATGTGGGCATCTCGCACGCCGGCCGGGAATCGAACCCGGGCAGAGGCTGCGGACAATTTCACAGCGCGGCGCTCAACCGCCTGCGCCACCAGGGGAGGCCCCGGAAATCTGTATTTTTAACAAATAGCTAGATTCAGGCAAAGTTGGGAAACAGCTCTGGAGGCGGGAGACACGAGGGGGTTCCCAGAGTTGAGAGAGCTGGATCTGTGGGCTTGGATCTGAGTTTCACAATCTGATTGTCGGGTATCAAGCATCTGGAAGCCACTGACTCTAGGGCTGGCTAAGGGAAATGCACAAACTGAATTCGGAAACATCTAGAACATTCAACCTGCAGGAGTCCCAAGAGATGAAAGCCACAGCTTCCACTAAAGTTGATCCCCTGATTCCACTAGTTGATCAATAGCAGCGCCCTCCACTGGCGATCTAAGGAGATAGCGACATCCTAGCAAGTGGAGCTCCGACATAAGTTATAACTAGTAGGAAAAAAATATGAAAACGCGTTCCTCAACTTTAAAAATATTGAACCTTTTTAAAGAGTATATCAACAACCAAAAAGAACCTGAAAAAGAAAATCAGGTACACATCCTAAGTGTTGACACTTTATTTTTTATTACAATATTCTAAAATATATCTAAATCCAGTGGAGCTTCAGTTTAAACTCCCGAAGCTTACAATTTCTCTAAAACAAGCCATCATGCCAATATAGTTTAAGTTAACAAGAATGTTGATGTTTTGATTAAATGAAATTCTCTCTTGGGAATCTGCTGCAATGCAGGTTCTTTTTAGTAACTGTTTTAGGTTGGTTCAATTCTCTTTCCATATAGATAACTCAAGCCCCTAGAAAGCTGTCATATAGTTTATTGATGAAGTCCATTGACCTACCCTAAATTTAATAAATACGTATATACTGTTTGTCTCTTTTGTTTTCTAATTATTTGCAATAATTCGATGCTTTTCTATACAACATTAATTTATACATTGCAACCAAGAGACAAAACCCATTTACAGCATAGTCACTTTCTAGGATTAAGATGATCCAAAATTTGTTTTATCTCAAATTTAAAAGCAGAACCTGAAACAAAAAACTCATGTTTTGGGGGATTCTAATCTCAGGGAAGCAGGAGAGAAAGAGAAGAAAGGAATGAGTTAGAGATAAAAGAATAGCAAATGGAGTATGTAATCAAGAATACTAAACATGTTTTCAGAGGGATCATTGAAATGACTGTCTGTCCTAAAAGTTCATGGGAACAGAAGGGAGAATAAATCATTCATGGCTCCTGTTCCATATTGGCCAAAATTACTCCCACAGGGCATTAGCTATTTCCTAGTACAGCGTTTCCCCTGCATGACCACCTATACAACAGTCTCCTGCCTCAGATATAAGAAACCCTAGTGTATATAACCTCTTTAAGATGTGCATTTCATCACAGCTATCAATGTAAATAAGATGTTTAACATTTCCATAAAATGTTTAAATATGAACCAAAGAAATCATTGTTTCAAAAATTTTTTAAATATTATATTTGTATGCACTAGTTACAAATGGACAATGTAATTCTTAAAAGAATGTCACTTGCCATATCATCAAAAATTCATGATTTCTACTAATGACTAAAAAATTTTATGTATGGCCTTAATTAGAAGAAAATTATGGAGAGATTGAAAGTCACTGGAGAAGCATTCCTGAAACAGAGAAATATACCATAATGATGAAAAAATATACCATAACATAATGATGAATATTAGAGAGATGTTAATGAGTCTCACATTGTTTATAAATTCAGTGCAATCTTAACAAAATTTTGACAGGATTTTTCATGAAACAAAAGTTCACTTTACAATGTACATGAAAGTTAAGGAAGAAAAGATTGTGGGAAGATGACAGAGTACAAAGCATCTTCTTTCCACCAAGACAACTGCATGGGCAGAGTCTGTCTGATGTGACAATTATGGAACAATGGAGTGTATTGAAGGCTTACAACACCCAATAGAAGGCTTGGACAGTAAATTTTGATTCAATTCTTACCGCTATAGGAACTACCCACCCTTCACCCCCAACCTCATGGCAGAAAACCATGCAGGTGGTTCTAGAGCACCTTGTATTATGGTAGGAAAAAGCACCCTATTTACCAATTATCAATAATTTCTCCTCTGACCAAGATGGCTGCTTCTGATCTCAGAGCAAAGTTAGAATCTAATTGTCAGAATTACCACATTATTAGGTTCAAACATCCAATGTTCAACAACAACAAAAAATTCAAGGAATACAAAGTAATAAGGAAGTATGACCCAATCAAAGGAAAGAAAAAACAGAAACTGTTCCTGGGGGGAAAAAAAAAACAAACTGATGGCAGATAGACTACACAAAGACTTTGAAAAAACTGTCTTAAATATGCTCAAAGAACTGAAGGAAGATGTGGGGATAATTCAGTAAACAATGTATGAATAATAAAGTGATACAATCCTAAAAACAAATTCCGGTGCAAAATACAATAATTGAAATGAAAAATTCACCAGGAGGTTTCAAAGATTTTAACATCAGAAGAATGAATAAGTGAACTTGAAGATAAAACAGTGAAAAGTATTGGCTTGGAACAGAAAGAAAAAAGATTAATGGAAGGTGAATGAAGCCTAAGGGACATTCAGCATCCAACAGATTAACAAACATATTGTACAAGTCCCAAAAGGAGAAGGGAGAGAAAGGGGAAAAAAGGGAGCAGAGAGACTACTTGAAGAAGATCAGGAATAATGCAAAGGTTCCTCTTTAAACACTTCTCTTTAACAAAATACTGGAAGTTCTAGCTAGAGCCATTAGGCAAGAAAACGAAATGACAGGCATTCAAATTGGAGTGGAGGGCCTTGGTGGCTCAAGGGGTTAAGAAGCAACTATGAGGCTGTCCGCAGCCACCGCAACATGGGTTCGATCCCCGGCCAGGGAGCTACCCACATGGCAAAGCAGACCTCTCCTGACTCGTCCGCTTCTCCCCTCAGCAGTGTATTTCAGTCACTCTGCCTGTTCTGTTCCCCACTCTGTCTCTGGTGAATCCCTATGCCTCTGGCCTGCACCCCAGCTCTTGTATGCATAAATAAATATTTTTTTTTTAAATCTTGGGGGAAAAAAACAAAAAAAAAATTTGGGTGGAAAAAAAATTATGTATTTACAGGTGATAAAATTTTATATGGAGAAAATCTGAAGATTGCATGCACACACAATCTGCTAGAATAAATGAATCTGCACACAAATCTGCTAGAATAAATGAATTCAGCATAGTAGCAAAATACAAAGTCATTATACAAAAATCAGTTGTATTTCTATACAACCTTTGGAGATTACAGAAATAATTCCACTTATATTAACAGCAAAAATAATAGAATACTTAGGAATTAACCAAGGTGAAAGACTTGTACAATGAAAATTACAAAACATGCTGAAATTACAGAAAACATAGATAAATGGAAACATTCCACATATTATCTATGTATTTAATACCACTGAACTGTACACTTAAGAACAGTTAAGATGGTGAATTTTATATTTTACCACAATAAAAAAATTGGAAAATAAAAAAGTGTTCAGAACCATGAATAACCAAGGTGGAGAGAGATCACTAAGGGGTACTAATTGAGACATGCAAAAATATAAAAACAAATACTACATATATATGTAGTAAAACTACAGAAATGAACAGGGATATCTAAAATGAAGATAAACCCTGAAAAGAATGGAGAGGGAGAAAAGTAGAAAGGGGTTCCAAATGTATTTTTAATGTTTTCAATTTTAACCTGATGTGTGAGTCCATGGATGTAGTGTTAACTTTTTTTTTAAAGATTTATTTATTTATGCATACAAGAGCTGGGGTACAGGCCAGAGATGCGGGGGGTGAGAGGATTCACCAGAGACAGAGTGGGGAACAGAACAGGCAGACTCACTGAAATACACTGCAGAAAGGAGCAGCAGCCGGCGAGACAGGAGAGCTCTGCCTTGCCATGGGGGTTGCTCCCTAGCCAGCTGGGGATCAAACTTGTGCTGCAGAGGCTGCAGATTGCTTTTGCAGTGCGGTGCTTAACCCCTTGTGCCACCAGGGAGGCCCTTACAGTTATTTTCACTTAAAAAAATCAAAATCAACAAGCAACTATAAACCAGAGACACACTATGGGGGGTTGGGGTGATGTGGAGAGGAAGGATGAAGGTCAAAATAAGGGGGGGTGCAATTGTATGGGGAATATAACCAAAATGTAAATGCATACATTGTGCAAAAATGAAAAATGATGTAAGAATTATATAAAATAAAATATTTTTTAAAAAGTTATTTTTACTTAGAGACTTTGTTGAGAATATTATTCATCATTTGAAATTTCATCTGTAAACAATCTTAATTTTTTTGTTATGAAAGTAATAATTTGTGTGAATTTAAAAAATCAATGAAGATTTAATAATTTTATTCGGTAGATTACATTTTGCATTCAGAAGAGTATAAGGACATATTGTATACCTTCAAATAATTTTGAATTTGTGGGTATTTTATACAATATAGCCTGGGTAATTAATTATATCCCAATGTTACAGGACACAGTTTAATTCATCTCCTATTGAATTCAATTTTTCCTCAAACTTATGGACCACAAATGATATTTTCCAGAAAGCAATAATTTATTAACAGCATGTTCTCCCTTATTTAACAATGCCTAATATATTCCAGTTGAAACAGTAAATTAAAAAATGTTCCCCTTATCTGAGAACTAAATAGTAGAATAATGATAGCAAATATTTATTGATCTATGTACTAGGCACTATGAATACATCATGCATGATTATCTGATGAAATCCTCACAATAGCCCTTGGACATAGGTACCACTATTAATCTAATTTTATAAGAAACTGAGGTGACGTGCCCAAGATTACCTAACAATGAGCAATGGAGCCAAAATTGAACCTAGGCAGTCCGGATTGAGAAACACAATTTATGCTACCTCTTTGTGGACTACAGTTGTAGTAACATAAAATTTCAAGTGTTTTGCACCACTGTCCTCTACATACACTCAAGGTTTTCACACTTTGTGTTGTTCTGATGTGGGGGTTATTAAACATGATCATCCTGGGTACTATGGAAAAAGGAGACAGAAAACTTTTGTCTCATTCTAATTGACAGTCATTGAGTAGTTTGAGACAAATCTTTGGGCTTTAATTTCTTCATGTGTGAACTCTATAGCTATTCCTTAATGTCCTTTTCAGCTCAAAGAGGAAAAAAGTGAAAGATTCCCATGATAATAATTCAACACCAAGCAGAGGAAAATATTTTAAAGTAGAAGTAAATGAGCATTTGTGTGTTTAATTATTTTTGTTGTTTTAAATCTTTTTAAAAATATAATTAAGTCTAAAATTAGAAAGTACCTAACTGTCCTTAAAATTGCCTATGAACTAGGCTTATCAAGTAGGATTGTATAAGAAAATTAAAGCATAAGTTAAAATAATTGTTCCTAAATTGCTATGTACATAATATTCCTCTTTTTTTCTTTTTTAGAAAGTTGGGCATAAAACAATACTTAAGTCTCTTGACATGGTATCAGAACACAGCTATTGCTGAGATTTTGATTGAAAGAGAAATCATGGTTCGACTGACCTTGCCCCTAATTGCCAAAAACAGCATTCTAAAACTACGAAAAGAAGAAACCATTTTACAATACCTGAAGAAAATAACTCACATAAACTTTTCGAACAAAAATATAGATGCAATTGTAAGAACTCTGAAATTATTTCCTATTTTTATGTAGTTAACAATTTAAAGTTTAGAAATTGTTATAAGGGAATATTTTCTTATTCTCTATATTTTGATTATACTTATTAACTAAACTTTGGTTATTCAGCTTCATTTGTCTTCATTTTAATTTCCTGCTTTATATTAAACTTATTAAAATTAAGTCTATAAAATATACCATTGTGATTGCTATATGTGTTAAAATATATGTTCTTCTAGAATATTCTACATATAGCAAACAAAATTTTAAAGTATATGGTGGAAAATAATTTCAAAGATAATTACTTTTGTATAATATCAGAACCTTAGAATATGAATTTTTAGCATATCAAAATATTAAGCATTAATGAGTACCATATTTTGAAACTTTAAGTGTAAAATCTTTTTTGCAATTAATTTAACTGGTAACATAAATGTATGTTAACCTGTCAGCTATATCAATAAGATTATGTTAACTTAGATATACTCAGAAACTCCGTTTCTTCTGTACTAAGTTAATTCTTGCATTTAATTTGAGGAACTTTAAAGACAGCAAAAGACCCATTTAAGCCCTTTGTATTGGTATCCGCTGACTATAATAAAATGCTAACGGCTATACATGAGAGAAAGTTTTCAAAAATATAACCTGTAAGAGCACAAGGATCATGTAAATTTTATTCATATTACTCTAAATCCCCCATCCATATAGTGTTGGACTCATATTAAGTATTTAACAAATATTTACTGAATGAAAAACACAAACACCAAAGCCCCAGACAAAATTGTCATTAAGATAATTGTCCCCCTAGCCATTCCAGGCATTACCCAGCTCCCATTCCATATCCCTTCCTAGATTCCTAGTGATCCTTCTCACCAGGGAGCACAGAAGCATTCTTGTGCTCTTGTAGGTTATGATTCCGAGAAAATTTCTCCCATCTATATAGTCTTCATCATTTTACTGTTGACAACAGTAAACCAGTACAACAGGCCTAAATAGATCTTTTGCTGACTTTAAAGTTCCCCATAAGAAACATAGTTTCCATTCAACTTTTTTTTTCCCTCCCTTATGTGTCCCTTCAATATAGATGACCTTTGTTAGGAGGAGAGCAAAATGGTTAAAGTAATTCACAATGAGATAAAAATAATGTGTGAAGTTAAATTTCCCAAGATGATGTATTTTTAAAACAGCTTAATGAAATCTGAGATATTTTTGAGCAAAACTTCACTTCTTTCCTACTTCCTCTAGGCTACTACCACACAAAAAATGACAGCCTTTTAAAAAATACCTTTAATTATTTTCTTATCTTAAATGTAATTGTATAAAAGGAAAGAAATTGACTTTAGTCCTACCATGCAGAGAAAACGAATGTTAACATTTAGGTGGTGTCTCTCCAGTCTTTTTTCCACACATGTATTCATATAATTTTACAATAGTGCGTCATACTGAATATATAGTTTTTATTTTATTATGACATGTAAAATATTGCTAAAGAATACTTAATGATTTATACAGTATTCCCCTTCAATAGCATTTTCATAGTTTCTATTTTTGAGTATCTAGATGACTTCCAATTTTCAGAATTATAAACCACAACAGTTTACTTCCAATCCTAGAGAAACATTAAGACTTAATTTATAATGTTGTAGCAATAATTTGTTAAACACTTAAACTTCCAGAAGAGCCCAATTGCTTCCTAGGAAAATTGCTTACACTGGGAAAATCTTTCTTACCAAATACAGTTCTGATATAGCTATAGAATATTAAAGCCTAGATACTTTTGTGCTTAAAGCAGAAATATTGTTATCTCCTATTAACCTTGAGAAAATGTGCAGAATATTTAAGCAAAAGAAATAAAAAGAAACTTCTAAGTTTTCGGGTGAAATTAAGTATAACCTGTCTTTGTTTTCCTTTTAGGAAGACATCTCTCTTTGCAAAAATCTTAGTGTTTTATATTTGTATGATAACCACATTAGTGAAATCACTAACTTGAACTATGCCTCAAATCTGACCCACCTATACTTACAAAACAATTGTATTTCATGTATAGAGAACCTCAGATCATTAAAGAAACTGGAAAAATTGTAAGTTTTTTTAAATTTAATTTTATTTTTTAAAAGATTTATTTATTTATATAAGAACCAGGGTACAGGCCAGATGCATGGGAGTGTGAGATGATTCACCACAGAGCAGGGAACAGAACAGGCAGACTGACGAAATACACAGCTGAGGGGAGCAGCGGGCGAGACAGGAGAGGTCTGCCTCGCCATGTGGGATTCTCGCTGGCCAGCCGGGATCGAACCGGTGTTGCAGAGGCTGCGGACAGCTTCACAGTACGGCGCTCAACCGCCTGCCCCACCAGGGAGGCGTTTTTTAATTTTTTTAAGTAATGTAATTGTCATTATTATAGTAATATTTTTGCAAGCAGGCATTTCTGTAATCTGCAGTTTTATGAAACAGTCCCCAATTTTTATTCTCTTTTAGTATTTTAAGCACAAAATAAATTGTTTTACATGTAATGCTTGACAAAATTTGTGCCCTACTGAGCCTGATAATGCTTTTCTTTTGCAGGAGGCTGGGTTGACTATAGGAATATGTAAAACATCCTTGGGTATTAATAGTAGGCGCAACTGGCAAAAAGTTTCCATTGGACCCTAATGAGTCTATGCTTTCCCAAATCACACATCTCAAAAGGGTTGGGTCATAGAAAATGTTGATGTAGATGAATTGTAAATGGTATTTACTGCCTACCATGATTTTCATTAGATAATGAAGACTGGACCCAATTTCCTCGGACTAGAAGAATAATCAGGCTTCTCAAAAAGTGGGTCAACAGCCCCCAAATTAGGAGATACAATGGGGTAGGAGAGAGAGCGCTTTTAAAAGTGCAGATTGCTGGGTTCCAGCCTAGATAGAGCAGAAGCTCTGGGAGCTTGGTCCAAAAATCTTTATTCTTAGACCTACAGCCCAGGTGATTCTTCTGTACCCTAACATATGACAAGCACTGGCAAATAGTTTAATAAGGATTACGCTGATTCTCTCTTTTATTTTATTATTATTTTTTAAAGATTTATTTATTCATGCATACAAGAACCGGGGTACAGGCCAGATGCGTGGGAGGGTGAGAGGATTCACCAGAGACAGAGCGGGGAACAGAACAGGCAGACTAACCAAAATACACAGCTGAGAGGAGCAGTGGGCGAGACAGGAGAGGTCTGCCGGGCCACGCGGGATTCTCGCTGGCCATCCAACCAGCGCTGCAGAGGCTGCGGACAGCTTCACAGCGCTGCGTTCAACCGCCTGTGCCACCAGGGGACGCCCTGATTCTCTCTTTTAAACAAAATGTAAAAACTTAATTTTTAGAGTAAATTAAATATAAAAATCATATATAACCTCTCATTGATTAAATATTGTGCTTGGATAATTTTCACACAGTTTAATGAATTTGTTGTTATATTTTTATCATGTTTATAGACCATAACATTCTCAGACTACTTAAAATTGTGTTTTACATTTTGCAGGTATCTGGGAGGAAATTACATTGCTGTCATAGAAGGTTTAGAAGGATTAGAAAAACTAAGAGAGCTTCATGTTGAGAGTCAGAGGCTTCCCCTTGGAGAAAAGCTTCTGTTTGATCCAAGAACTCTTCATTCTCTGGCAGTAAGGCCATATTTGAGTATTCTGATAAAGACTATAATGATTAATAGTTATAATGGAACAGGAACATGGTAAACGTATATATGGAAAATGTATGTGCTCTGTAGGTTTTTATGGCCACTTGAGAGTTTGAAACCAAAACTCTTGTTTCCCATATAATTTCTCAAAAACTCAGCAGCTGTAAAGTGCGGATAATAATGCCAGTCTCTAGGGTAACTGGAAGGGTCACAAGAAAGATGTGAAAAGGTTATGTAAAGTATGAAGCACCAATACGGATGTTAATTCACTCATAATTTGGACCTTTGTGATTATTATGACTCAAAATTTAAAATTTATGGAAAAGCCTGTGGGAAAAGGAGTGCACAATTATTTGGCAAACTTTAAACATAGAGAATCATTACAATAAGTCACGTTCTTGCTCGATTCTGATTTTATTGTAGGTTGCATTATTATATGGCTTGGCTTCATCAGAAGCGGTATCTCTGGGAGCACCACATTTGATGCACCAGCTGACAAACACTTCACATAAAAGTTTCTCAATGAATTCAGGTGCCAGAGAGCACTACAGAAGCTTTTGCTAATCCACAAAATGGGATTTGTTGATATGCTACTTCAAATCTTGTGCAAAGGACATAAATGAGACATTGTTGGATTTAAACATTTCCTTGGTTTTATTTTATTGACTCAGAAACAGAGCTCAATGGGTTTTTGAACTAAATATACAACAACTAAGGGATAGACTTTAAATTGGAAAGAAGTAATCTGATTTTTATCCTAGCTTTTCTATGCTCCCTCAAAGAATCAACTGCATCTCAGTTCAACCTCAGTTGATCTAAGTAGACTGACCGCATTATGAGGATGGGTCTAATGTTATTATAAAATGCAACCAAAAACATTTTTGCTGGCTTACTTTTTGCATAGATTCAAGCAATGAAATATATTTCTGCATTTCAAATCTTTAAAAGTCTCAGGAAATACTTTATTGCTTGGCTATGTGTGGAAACCTTGGTGAATAAATTCCATCATGGTAGAGATTCCTGGGTCTCAGATTTTAAGAGAGCTTGGATTTAGTGTTACTCTATTGTATGTTTATATTATCTTTAACAGCTGATGGAAAATTTCTTCTTAATTATCTAATTATTATTTTAAGTGGTTTCTGAACATATGAACTGTCAAAGGAAAGCTATATAGATATCCTCTCATTCTTGGTCATGTTTCCTATTTAGAAAAATAAAGACAAAAACTACTTGTTTTAACCTAAGTATACAAATCTTAGTGATAGTAACAAAAAATGAAAATTGGCTAAAGCTGAAATAAGCTTTTTTCCCTACATTGTGTTATCGTTTGTTGGAGCATCTTCTTTCTTGACTTCTTTATTCTTTTTTCTATAAATTTCTCTAATATCTTGGAAGAAGAAAGTGGAACTTAGGAAAGAACTATAGACAGAAATAGAAAGTTGTATCCCAATTACTATAGTTCTAAACATTTCTTCTGAAAAATAAGATATAGAAATAAGATCTCCATAGGTTTTTTATTTTTTTGCCTAAAAATCAAAGCAGCCTGAACTCATACATCTTAAATTTTTCATGAATTAAGATTTGCTTCCGGGCCTCCCCAGTGGTGCAGCGGTTGAGCACTGGGCTGCAAAGCTGCCCGCAGCCTCCGCAGCTCTGGTTCGATCCCTGGCCACTGGTGATGGTCCCACATGGCGCGCAGACCTCTCCTGCTGCACCTGCTGCTCCCCTCAGCAGTGTACTTCGTCAGTCTGCCTGCTCTGCTCCCCATTCTGGCTCTGGTGCATTCTCTCACCTTCCCGCACTTCTGACTGTACCCAGTGCTTGTATAAATAAATAAATAAAATCTTAAAAAAAAAGATTTGCTTCCTATTGATATTATTTAAATAGATTAATAATGCTAATTTAGTTATTTTTCTTACAGAAATCCCTCTCTATATTGAATATCAGCAATAATAATATTGATGACATAAGAGACTTAGAAACACTGGAGAATCTTAATCAGCTCACAGCAGTTGACAACCAACTTCAGCATGTCAAGGTAACGGAAAGAAAAATTAATTTAAAGGTGTTTTCATGAAAGTGTGATTAAATCATGTATTTAATTAGTTATAAAATATTTCACTTCAAAAACTTTTGAATTTGTTTTAAAATTAACTTACAAATCTTTGCTTCTTAATATATTTATTTGTATAATTCTGCCCTCAGACTTAGTTTTCTCTTTCACATTCCAATGCCCCCATTCCTCACCAACAGAAAAAGTTTATCTAAGGAAGTACATGCATTTTCCTTTCTGTATTGTATTGCCATCAAATATTTCTCTCTGTTTCCCTCTAGAGACTAGATTTCTTGCCCCTAAACACTGGTCTCCCAATAATTGAGTTTCTAGTAACTGACTCCCTGAACTCTCTCCTGGCTGCTCCTAGTTCGGGAAGCACCTAGATCTTTAATTTATTCTAATTTGTACTAGTTATATACTGCTACCAATCAGGCTTATAGGGAACAAAGGAGACAATATATGTAAAATATTTCCATATTTTAAAAGTCTTTAGGAGATGCTGGCCATGATGGTTATGTAACAGGAAGACTTGAATCCAGGACTCAGAATGAGGGCAGAGTTCTCAATGGAAGTCTGTAATGGAAAGGAGCATTCCCTATGTCCTATGGAATAGACCAGGTAGACAAAGATAATTGGAGGCATGACCCTCAACTGCAATTCTTCTAAATAGCTATATTGAGGGAAGCTTCATGGTCTTTGAGATTTATTTTTTTTTAAGATTTATTTATTTATGCATACTAGAGCTGGGGCGCAGGCCAGAGGCATGGGGGGAGGGGGCTGAGAGGATTCACCAGAGACAGAGTAGGGAGCAGAACAGACAGCGGGCAAGACAGGAGAGGTCTACTGCGCCATATGGGTCACCTCCCTGGCCAGGGATCGAACTTGTGCTGCAGTGGCTGCAGACAGCTTCGTAGTGCTGTGACTTAACCCCTTGCACCACCAGTGAGGCCACTGAGATTTCTTTTTATCCCTTTATCATTTTATGTATTTTATCAGCTATCTCAAATGTCTTATAGACTGTAATAGAAACAAATTTTTGCATCTCCATTTCCTTACAAAGTACTTCTCACCCAGTTGATGTTTAACACATGTATTAAATTAAATGATTAATTAACAGACATTCTCTTAAAGGGATCAAAAGGAAGATAGTGATTGAACTTGGAGTTCAAGAATTAAAAGAGGGAAAATTACCTAAATTACCATAATCCAAAGGAGGAGGATCACAAAATAATGTAGAGTTTAAGCTCTACAAAGGAGCTGACCTGGGTTGGAGTCCTGCTGTACCTCTTAGCAGCCAAGTTACAACTTGGGCATGTCTTCTCTGGATCTTAGAATCCTAATTAATCAAAAGGATGTCAAAAGACCTCCTACAGCAGAGAGTTGGTGGAATTATACAAGATTATACATGGAGAGTTCTTAGCACAGTGCCTGGGATGAAATAAACCCTAGTAAATAGTAGTAGGAATAGCAATAAAGGGAAAAATAGTGATGAAATATTGAAACATGAAAAACTTAAAAAGCTTATGTCTGGGGTGAGAATCTATGTTTATGGAACAATGTTTTGTGAGAGAGCATATATATTATATTATACCCTGAAATTCTCATAAATTATAGTAATGTTAGTAGTAGAAATAATAGCTTGCCACCACACTCTCATCTCTGAAATACTGAGAACATGCCAGGTAGGGATTTATAATTCTGTAAGAAAGTTAAAGGAAAAGAAGGAATGCTAGGTATAGGAGTGGTGGTTTGTGTGGTATAAAAATCTACTTTTATTTTCATGTCTACTGGGGAATAATAAGATTGGAAACCTCTTAGCAGGTTCTGATTTCCCATCACATCATACTTGGTAAATTGTTAGAGGGCCTATACTTGCCCCTTTTATGCACGGAAACTAGGGTTTACTCTAAATCCTTGCATATCTTAAAAACCTTGGGCAAGAGTTTGGGGGATTCCTCTCTAAGGAAACTGACCAGTCCATGAGAAAACATCTTGTAATTCTGACATTAAGGGTTCCACAGAGAAAATGCTAGCTGTCTGTCCAAATGTTCTACAGTAAGACCAACGAGTTTAAAAGGCTAGCCCTTACACAAAAGAGTTCTCATTCACTTTCCCAAATAAACAGGTAGCTCAGGATCACTGCACATCTGAAAACAACCCCTAAAATTTAAAAAGAGAGAGAGAAAAAAAGAAACAAAGAATGTTTATATTAGAAAAGATGTTTATATTAGAAATGAAAAAATGTGATCTAAGCCTCTGCCTCAAAAAACAAGAAAAAATATATGAAAATTCAATTCCAAATAAGTGGAAGGGAGGAAATAATAAAGATAACAACAGAAATTAATGCATTATAGATAAAACCACTAATGAAAAATCAAAGAAAAAAGTTGATTCTTTGAAAATACAAATGAAATTAATAAATTCTAGGGTGACTGAACAAGAAAACAGAGAAGGCACAAATTAACAGTATTAGGAATGAAAAAAAAGTCACTACAACTAAAAAGATAGTAATGTTATGTTATGTAGAATTTTGTGATAAAGTTGACAGTTTAGATGTAACATGAATTCCTTGAAAGATAAGACTTATCAAAACTGACTTTGGAAGAAATAAAAAATCTAAATAGTTCCATATCCATTAAATAAATCATATTTTAAATAAAATTCTTTGTACAGTGAAAACTCCAAGCCCAGATGATTCACACACTTTAGAAAATATACCAATCCTACAAAAACTTGCAGAAAATAGATAACCAGGGAATATTTTCCAACTCATGTTCTCAGGCTAGCATTACCCTGTCCCCAACAAAATTATAAGAAAACTACATTGAACTAAAGAAATAAAAACAATATCTTTCATGAACATAGAACCACAATTTTCTTCCAAAATATTAACAAATAAAATCCAGCAATATATAAAAAGATAATTCATTACGAAGTGAGATTTATTTCAGGAATGCAAGATTAGTTTGACATTAACAATATAATTTACCAAACAAAATCAATGAGAAATATGATCATCTCAATGGATGTACAAAATGCTTTATAAAAAATTCATTCTTATTTTAAAAAATGCTCAGCAAGCTCTAAATAGTAGGAAACTTAACTTGATAATTGACATCATGTAAAACCTATAGATAATCACACTTAATGATGAAAGACTGAATGCTTTTTCCCTAAAATTAAAACTAGAGCAAGTATGTTTATTCTACCACATTTATTAAACTTTATAATAAAGTTTTAGCCAATGTAATTAGCAAGAAACTGAAACATTCAGTTTTGAAAGGAAAGAGTAAAACTTTTTATCAGTAGATTACAGGATTGGATACTTATAATCTATGGAAATTTATAGTATAAGTCTATGGAAACAATCTAAATGCCCCAGAACAGATGAGGGGATCAAGAAGATACAATATGTATACACAAGGAATACTACTCAAAAAATATAAACTCATTGCCAACTGCAACAACATGGATCAAGCTGGAAGGGATTATACTAAGCAAAATAAGCCAGAAAGGGAAAATAAATACCACATGGTGTCACTTATATGTGGAATAATGAGAAACCAAACAAAGGGTCAGACAAAGATAAACATGTTTAAAACCAACTCTTGAAAACTGACCATAGATCTGAGGCATCCAAGAGGGGAGAGGGAGAAGGGAGGAGAGGGAAAGAGATGAGAAGTGGTGGGGAGAGTACAATGCACAATGGCGGAGGACTATGGGTGCTTTGGTGGTAGGAGAACTGTGGTGACCACACCTGAGAGAAGAAATCCTATGTTGTGAAAAAAATTAACAAGGATGTAAAATAACGGTTCTTCATTACATTTATATTTTTTAAATAAAGTAAAAAAGAAAAATCTATAAAAAGTTATTAGAATTTATAGAGTAGATTTAATCAATGCCATGGGATATAAGATCTATATGTATGTAAAATTCTCACATATTAGCAATGAACAACTGGAAAATAATTTTTAAAAGCACATTTATAATTCATAGCTAGAAACATGAAATATTTAGGGGTCAATTCAAGAGGTATACAATAAAAGCTACAGAACACTATTGGAGAAATTAAAGAGGACCTAAATAAATGGGGAGAGATATCATTTTTTATTGAAAACCATATTCTTAAAGTTATACTTCATTCCAAATAAGTCTTTTCATTTTAATACAATCCCCAATCAAAATCCCAGCTGAATTTTTTAGAAATCGATAAATTCTAAAATTTGTATGATAAAAAGGCCCAGAATACCCAAACAATACTGGTAAAAAGAACAATGCTGGAGAACATAACCTAACTGATGTCATGATTTTGTCATTACAATAATGAAGACAATTTGGTATGGGCATAAGATGGTTATAGAGATAAGGAAACAGATTAGAGAATTTATAAGTAAATCCAAAGATATGTTTAAAAAAATTTTTTTAGAGATTCCAAGATAATTCAATGAGAGAAGGATATACTGTCCTCAACAAATGCTGGTGAAACAACTGGCTATACAAATAGAAAAAGTGAGCATTTACCCTTCATGCCATACACAAAATTTACTCAAAATGGATCATAACTAAATTTAACTGCTAAAATATAAAATTAGACAAATATAAAATTTATTAGAAAAATATATTAGACAAAGTGTTCTTTAAAAGAATATAAAAATCATTTCAGCTGGGCTTCATAAAAATTTAAAACTTTTGCTCTATGAAAGACATCTTTAAGGAAATGGTAAACTATAGGCTGAGATAAAATATTAGTTGTACAAATGTTGGCGAGGATGTGGAGAAAAAGGAACTCTTCTGCACTGTTGGTGGGAGTGCAAACTGGTCCAACCACTATGGAGAGCTGTGTGGAGATTTCTGGACCTACTAAACATAGAGCTTCCATATGATCCAGCAATTCCACTCCTAGGTATTTACCCAAAGGACACAGAAACATCAATTCCAAAGAGCACCTGCACTCCTATGTTTATAGCAGCACAGTTTACAAT